GGAAATTAAAGAGTGTCAGATTTACAAGATACAGAGAGACAGCAGAGCTGAGGCTGGGTAGGGTACAGGTTAGAGCTGCATGCAGACTGCTGATATACTAGTGATTGGTTTTTAATCAGTCCACCCCAGCTGGCTCCTTTTTCCTCCAAAAGGGCAGTTGCTGCACAGGCAGCGGTACATTTTTAAAAGATGGGTTGGACTGGTCTGTGGAGGTACAGAGGGAATCACTGCATGGTGCCAGGCACTGGAGCAGTGCTGTTTTCTCTCATTTCAGCGAAAGCTCAGGCTGTCCCACCTGCCTTCCACTCACCTGTCCCTCTGAGCTGCGGCGGTAGTCCTTGTGACCTCCAGTACAGAATATATTCAGTCCAAAGAGAGCCAAGAGGCTGTCCCTCTGTGTCAGGGAGAGAGAAGACCTGCAGCACGCAAGACGACAATCCGTCCGAGTTGCCAGCCTCTCCCCATGGTATTTTATCATAAGGATTTGTCGCTGCAGGTAGTGATATCGATGGCCTCACCCTCGTGGTTGTTGCGCTTGAAATTTGCAGGAACCTACAGATCTCATGAAGCAGCCCAGCTAGCAAGGTGCTGTTATTAGGCCATGCAGGGCAGACGAGGCGGCGGGGTGCTGCCCCCTCCCCGTCCTGCTCAACCAGTGCACAAGGTCCGCTGCGGGGCCAGGGGTGTTTGCAGATCCGGGGGGGACGTGGGGGGACTGTTAAATCATGGCTGTGCAGGTTATCCCTGCAGAAGGAGCTGCTGCGGGCCCTCTCTCAGCCCACCTGCCTTCCACCTCACTCCGCGTCCATGTCACCCAGGGCCCGGGGACCCACTCAGCCCCCGCGTTCTGCTCACTAGGGTTATGTAGGGCCTTGCAGCCCCGACAGACAGGAGCAGCGATGCAGCGGGTACCCCCGCAGCTCGGCACGGCCAGCTCGCCTGCGCCAGGAGCGTGAGAGGGTTGGCTTCACCGCCATCTGCGTCTTGGCCACCACTATTTAATAAAAAACTTTGTCCTATACAGGCTTGCCAAGGCTTGGCATTAGCTCCACAGGTGTGGGGAACACGGAGATGTGGCAGAGAGAGCAAACCTGCATTTCATGGATTGGAAAGACTGTTGCCTTAGAATATAAGTGCAAAATCGGTGAGGAGCTGTGACAAATATATATGCTGGCTGATAAAACAAATGTAGGTGGTTTGTCTTTGTTCTGCACCAGCTTAAATGCTTGCATCCCCTGCCATTGGCAATTTGTCTTGGTTCTTTTAAATTCCTAAGTGGATTATAATTTTTCTCGTGGTATTATTTGACAACAGTCATATTTCATGGCTTTACTGCATTCTTTGGATAGTTAGAATTTTTTTACGGAAAGGAGCTCAGTAAGAGGCGGCCATCTCCAGGGCATGTTGTGTAATGCAGACGCTGAAGACGTAGATGAAATTGTTCTTTGTATTTTTATGTAGCTTTTATCGTCTGAAAATACAGAATTTGTCCTATGATAGTTTACAGCATCTGAAGCACGTTAGTACCCCAATGTCGGATGCAAATCCTTCAAATGCTGTAGCATGAGTAAATTCCTCAGCACCTAATGTACTTCAATGACTCTGGAATACTCAGTCTAAAATAACTGTGAATTCTCAGTATAACGAGGATGTTTTTAAGCTTTTCAGACACTAATGGGTTCAAAAATATAGGCATAAAACTTAGCTTCTTTGCTTTTATCTATGCATAAATTCCTGTCATGGAGTATGTTTGTATAAAAACGATAGGGATCATTTCAGTATCCCCTTACCCTGCTCCGAATATTATATTATCGTTTGTTAGTTCGTAGAAATATGCCATATCTAATTAGGTTAGTAATGATTGTACTTAGCATAGGAATTGCAGCAACATAAGGAGAAAATAATCACACATTGCAATATCAAAATAAACATTTCTGTCCTAAGAATGTTGTCAGGTGATGTCATACCATCTGTCCTACTGTACCCACTCGGAAATTTTGCTGCAGCAGCATCTGGTACTTTGGCGAGCTCCGCAGACAACTGTGGTAGCTTTACAGCTGCCTTTAACTTTGCTTTTATATTTAAACAGTATTAAGACTTCATGCTCCATGTTCCTATAAATGTGTTTGCTTTCACTGAAGTTGGATACTGAGCAATTTGTATGTTTTCCTGGTTTGCAGAATAAGGTACAGTGTGTGAATTGTCTTGGGAATTTGCAGTTGCCAAACTGTAAAATACAGCTTTCCCCTCCTCCTTCACTCCACAGCCACCTTTGGGCCTGGGAGAGAGACACTCTTAGGGAGGACACTTTCCTGGGCACAGGAGAACCTGAACCCTCAGTTCTGTTCCTATAAAAATGTGGTTATTTGTACAACCTGGAACAACTCCAGCAGAGAAGACTGAGAGGAAACAATCCCAAAATAAATAATAACTTGGTCACTAATGATGGGGATGGTTTTTCAAGCCCTTATGCTGCACGAGTGAGAGCAGAGAGATGCTTTGGGGCTCCTCACATCCCCAGGGAGAGCACAACTGCTGGGCACTCCTAAGCAGTCTACAGGGGTGCTGGGGGAAGGGAAATGTTTTGGTTTAATTTTTCCGAGAAGGCTGAAGTGCTTACCTCTACTGGAGACTTCTCATCGTTCTCCTTGAGAAATGGAGATGTTTGCCTGATAGCAGACAAGCTTCCGTCGATAGCCACGTTCCATGACCCAGCCCATGCTCTGTCCTCCTGTACTTCACCCCTGGTAGCTTAGGAAAGCAACAGGAGCAGGTATCTGGATTCCCTTTCTTGCATTCCTGGCAGTTCCCAGGTATATGGGGCACTGATACATTTTACTGAGATCTAAGTTTTTCAGTAGGCAGCAAGATACATAAGAAATGTTCAGCGTGACTTTTAGTTATTTACTCACAGTACTGCGAACTAAATAAGTGACAACAGTGTCAAAAACCCAAAAGTTGGAGCCATGGTGCTTTCTCATATTACTCTGCATTTGTTTGTTTTGTTTGTTTTGTCATGTTAAAATGCCTCCTTGGTCCACTTTTACCACTCCTGGGTAAAGAAACATGCTAAATCTGACCATGAACACTGTTATGGTAGGCACTCATGGTTGCTAACTAGTACAGTGATTTCCTGTATCGTGTGTAAGTGATCAGCGTGCAAGCTAAACCAGTGCTGGGTGAGGGCTAGCTGGCACACGTTTGTGGGCACACTCACCCCTGCACGCATGCATTCAGCTCCCCACCGCCTGTTTATTTCTCTGCCATGCTTGTTTTCTTCTTCAGGGTAGAAACAGCTTCTCTGGATCAGCTGTGCCCCTTTTGGGCTCCACATGCACTAGCTAAAGGCTGGGTAAGTTCTCCACTTGTGCACAGAAGAAGCTGGGATGGCATTATTTTGAAAGAGGGCTGCAAGGAAAATCCATATAACCGGTGCTCTCAGACTGGGACTTGCTTGTGCAAATACCTTAATAAAGTGTTACGCTTTCCTTTTTCCTTCCACAAAATTATGACAGAAATACAACCCTGTAAAAAGCATGGACCATATCTCATTTTTGGCCCCATACACAGATGAGTGTTCTCTGATTCTAAATTCAGATTTCACTGTGCTAGATGATTTTTAAATAGATTTCAATGTTATTTCCTAAGTGCAGAAATCTAGCCAGTCCATTTCCTTTTCCCCAGAGTTTTGGACATCTGCTGGGGAAGACGCTGCATACACCAAAGGAAGGCTCTGAGTGGATGTCCAATTAATTTAGATTTGTCATTTCAATTTGTTCATTCGGCAGGTATATAGTAAACAAAATAGCTTAAATGAAGTCTGCTTTGGGGTTTTAAATATTTTATTTGTGCTTAGCTTTTGGGAATTGCCCCTTATATACAGCATCTGTTCAATACGACAGGGTTTTCTAGTGTTTGTTGACTGCATATCAGCTCTCCTTTAATTGAGTTAGCAAAATGTTTTGTGATCTGCATGGTTAAAACCCCCAGTGTTTAATCCTGCAACTCTTGAGCTCCTTCACTCTGCTCACATGACCCTATGAGCTGCTGACTGACTGGCAGAGCGTCTTGGGGGCTCGTCCTTCCGCTTTCATTTCAGGTGCTGAAAGGTGCTCTCGTCTTGGAGATATGGCAGCCCCTAAAAGACCATGTTGGACTCAGTAGGGGGCTGCTGTGGACTTCACTGGGCCAAGGATTTCCCCCAGGCAGGAAAGGGGTTGCTGAGGTGATTCCCGTGATTATAATGAGGTGCGATGGGATGAAGTTAAGCAGTAGGAAATTGAAGCTGAATGTGTTTTGGCAGAGATGGTCATCTATAGAGCTAGCTCCCAAAGGAAGTGGTAAAAGTTTGGCTCTTTAATATTACATGGGTCAAAATACTGGAGGACATACAGTGAGCACCAGTTCTATAGTAACAGCAACACAGAGTAACTGGCCTTCTCATTATTGTCATTCGGGAGTTAGTTAAAAGAAAATCCCTTCCATCTCTTTTAGTTAAGTGGCATTAGCATATGCTATAGATAGAGGTTTGGGATTTTTTAAATAGACAAACAGGAGGTGTATATGTGTGGGCTCTGTGGCACTAGCAGAAATTCAGTCTCTGAGGATATGGGACATTAAAAGGCATGGTTTAAAGAAGCAGAAATGGGCTTTCCTCATGATCATGTTCATCTTATTATGCTCTGCTAAGGGCTCTTTTATTACTGAGCTGCCGCTGGGTCTTTCAGTGTAAATTACTCCCTTGAAGATGACCATGTTTTGTGGTTTGCAGCAGGGACACAGGTTTTTTGATGTTGACCCTTGTTCACAAGAGGCTATGACACAATCACTAAAGTTGTTCATGAAAATCATACTGCAGAAAATCATAGTCCCAGGAGTAATGTGCGAGTCATTTAATCCATCAAAGCGCGCTACCCTCCGCAGGAACACATGCAGACCCGTGCCATAAGGAACCTCTGTTCTTTTTGTACAGCACTGATTTTCCTGTTTCTTTCTTGCAGTACAATAAACACCTCTTCGTACACATTGGACACGCTAACCATTCTTACAGTGACCCGTTGCTTGAATCGGTGGACATTCGTCAGATTTATGACAAATTCCCTGAAAAGAAGGGCGGTCTAAAGGAACTGTTTGGGAAGGGGCCCCAAAACGCTTTCTTCCTCGTAAAATTCTGGGTGAGTAAGACACGACGTGAAGAACTCTCTTGTCGATAAGGCCTGTGTTTAGTGTTTAGCACCCTTTGGGGTGCTTGTGGAAATTTCTCCTGTCGTCATTTAAAAGTGCAAAGCTGTATATCCTTCAGGTAGGACGCTGGCCCAGAGCCCCTCTAGTTGACAGCTCCACCAGAAGTCTGTGTTGCAGATGACACGCAGAGGCAGATGTGTGCCTCAACTGTGCTTGGCACAGCTGCTGGGCAGGAGCAAACAGGTAACGAGAGCCCTCGTTTGTAAATGGGGAACTGCCATCTAGTGGTCCCAGGAAAAACAGGGAAGCGGCAGAAATGGAGACTGCTTTTTAAGTGTTTCAAATGCTGAACTCTTGCCAAATGCAAATAGTACAAGTCTCAGTCCCGCAATCGGGACTGATCCGATTGATCCGCACTTATGCAGATAGGACCAAATAGGATTTGAACCGAGTGTGCGGCAGGACAACTGTGAGCCTGGGAGGGTTCCAGGCTTTTTCTTAAACATTTTTTTGGTTCCTCGAGCACATCTGCTTTCCTCTTGCCTTTTTGTTAGTCAGCCATGGGACTCTGCTCCAAAAGTTGTATCTGTTCATATCAGTTGTGAGCAAGAGTGAAAAAGAATTTGAATGGGAGGCTGAGATGTGGTATATTGATCTAGTTGTGAGAAATTTAATTGATACATCAGATTTTTCTTATTGTATTTACAAAATCTCATGTTAGTAGTGCTAAAGGTTCATACAAAAGGATCATCAAATCTCCAGGCTGGACCTTATGCTTATACTAAAGCTTTTTCTACTCATTACTTTGTTGGGGTGTTTTTTGTGGTATACTCCTTTTTATAGCAACAGTTATTATCTAAACATTTTAAATTTGTCTTTTAAAACCTCAGTGAAAGGGGCATATTCAGGGTTTGATTACAGGGTGGACAGGTTGAGGCTGAAAGCAGAAAAGGTTGATCTGGAATCACTGCTTATGATCAGATTTCCTGGTGTTTATTGCCTTCAGTTAAAGTTTATCTATGATGCAACCTGAAATATTCTCCACCTTGTACATACCCCAGACTTCCTATCTTGCCAAGACTTTCTGTAGCACCAGATTTGGAACTGGAAACTGGGAATGAGGGAGACTCTTTTCTCAAATCTGTGTGTAGAAGAGATAAATCACTGAGCAGGAGCTATGCTGGACTGCAGAAGAAATCCGTTGAGAAATTCATGGTGCTTAAAACAGGGAATGGGAGCTGTAGACCAAGCATTTGAGGGCTGGCTGAGCAAAGAGGCCAGGAACAGGAGGCAGCAGAGAACTGGGAGCTGAAACACAGCAGCCACCAGGACCCTGGAAAAGGCAGGTGAAAATGTAGGGTCAAAAAGAGGGAGGCAGTGGGAAGAGGGAGCATTTGAAATAAGGAGCCTGTGGGGAAACATAGGGATGAAGGCATACAGCAGAAATAGGTATGTGAGAGGTGGGAACAGGACAAGTGTAAGGGCAGAAGAAATCTGGCTGCAGAGGAATAGAGCTTGGAGGTTAAGGGTCTGTGACCACTAAATACATTTCCTTGCAAAACTTGGGCTTGAACTGAGGACCATCATCTCACCAATCCACTTTGCATAATAAATACTTGTGAAACCCACTGGCAAAAATGAAGGTCACCTCACTTGCCTGTTCTCAGTTCCCATAGAGAATGACAAGCCTCAGACTTTATATTAGACATGAAAGCAGCAGAAATTTCTGATACGGTCATTGATGTATTGTATGTTCTGCTTTTTCTTAATGTGGAAACCAATTTTCAGGTGTGCTGAATGCTCAAAGATGTATCTAAAGCCAGTAGAGATCTTCTTTGGATCACTAAGGTCTGTGTTGTACTCACGACTTTGAAAATTCAAGTGCCAGCCTTCTCTGCTTGATCTCCTACAAGCACTGCACACCCTTAACACTCTTGCCTCAGTTCCCCATCTGTAATGTGGGGGTGATACCATCCCTTCACCTCAGATGGTCACTGAGAAATCAAACTCATGGCTCTTTATAAAGCATCAAGATAATGCCATGAAGAAAACCTTTATAAAACTAATAACTCTGTTCAGCACGGGTTTTGAGTAGTGTGCAGGAAATAGGGACCGGGCCACACTGAATAGTGAAGACAAAGAAATATTGTATAGCTGCCCAGAGGGCGAGTGTGCAGTTGTGTAGCTAAAGACTGTATCATGATGCAGTTCAGCAGTCAGGACGTGCAGGCAACTTCAATCCAACATTTCCTAACCTTACTGTGCCTTCCAACATAATGGTCTTTTAATACAATTTTGTGTTATATTAACTTAGAGATTAAAAAACATACAGTGCTAACATACTTCTGAATTATACGTTAAAAATGTGGTGAGAATGCCTTCCTAAGACACAACCTTAAAATAGGCCAGTGGATTTTCTCTCTCATCGAGTGAGTGAGGCACAGGGAAGGTGCCAGGGGCAGTGTTTGGGTGCAGCGAGAGTCATGATGAATGCCCTTCTAGGAATAAACTTCACACCAGTGCTCCCCATCTAGAAGTACGTATAGGAAAAACAGAAGTTGGATGTGTAATTAGTCACGAGAATTAGATCCTAAACTGTCAGCTCACTGTCCTTAATTTCTTTCCCCCCAACAGGACATTTCTTCAGAAAAAAAGGATGCTGTTCCCATTTTCATGGGGAGTGTTGAGAAACTGTTCTAAACAATCATACATTACCATTGTAAAGCTGGCAAAGGTTGCTGACAATCCTTTTGACCCTATTAGTAACTTCAAGTTTATTAAGATGAAAACAGATTAATTCCTGTATTCTTGTTCTTTTCTTTTAAATTAAAAGTATCCACTTCTGAATCAGTATCCACTCTCTCCTTACCATCCGCTACCTCCTTCTACCCTGAAAGTTCAACTTCTCCCAGGTTCTGTTCATGTTGTGTGGTTATTGCTTACTCACAATACTCTCTCTCACCCTTTATTTAACCATTTCCCCCTTCCCATCCTTTTGTTGTCTTCTCCCTTCATTATCATTTAACCATCGACAGTTTGCTCAGCGCTGTAAGCTAGTGCATCTCAGCATCAGTGTCCAGTGGCAGTCCACGTTTTGTTGGAATTTGATTGTAACGTGAGTAAAAGAGGAATATGAATTTATGTTGGGCAAATAAATACAGGTGAAAAAGTGCTGTAAGGAGAATCAACAAAAGAAAACCAGGGACTATGAGTGCAAGAAGTCAAGGGAAACCAGAGAAGGAAAGCAGGCAGGTGTCATGGCATGTGGAAGCTTGAAAGTGAAGGTGAGGATTTGATGCCAGAAGGGATGGTGAGCCTGTAAATGGATTTAAAGAGACGTTGGCACATTGCTGGAGGCAGCCCAAAGGGTATTTTGTTTAGACATTAGGTCTAGTGTGGAAAGGAAAGATGGGAAACAGGAAGACCAGAGACGAGCACTTGCATTGAGGATGACTAAGGCAGAAAGTGGCTTAGCTCTGGTAACCAGAAAGATTACTCCTCTTGCTCTTTACCATTTAGTTCTGCTTGAGGCCTCCAGCAGCATGGTTTTCCCTGTGATAAAGGTAATAAGGTTTGATTACAAGAAAGTGGGAGGGAAAGGTCTGAGATCTTGCAAGAAGACATTTGGCAATTGTGGAGTTGACTTTGCAAAGCATCACAGGTATGGAGTACAAAGCAAAGTGTTGCTTTGCTTTGCAGAGATTTATTGGTTCATACAGATTGTATCTCCTGTGAAATACAGCCTGATGCTGGGAATGGATGAGCTTCTGGCCTCAGTCCTGGTGACACACCTGGACGTCACGCTTTTGGGCCTCTTCCTACCTAACAGTGCAGGAGGTATAAAAGGAAGAGACTTCTCCTTTTACACCACCTCAACCAACCAACCTTGCAGCCCTGCAAAGCAATTTCCTGGTCCGTGTCTTGCACCTTGAATGCAGTGACTCTTTTCTTCTGTTTATCCCAGGTAGTCACTGGGAACCAGAGAGTTCAGGGAAGTCACCCCAGAGACAGGCTTTTACAGTAATAGATAGCAGGAGCTTTACTTGGTATGTTGTGCACTCAGTACAATGAGTAAATAAGGACCAACATACTAACAATATGGCACAGGAAATTTGTGTGACAGTGATATGAAACCGGAGATTACAGGGATATAAAATGAAAACAAAAATAAATGCTCTTAAATAAAGGTAAAAGTTATTTCCTAGAACACTGACGCGGAATTCAGACAAGGCTGCAGAATATCTGCAAATGAAACCTTTCCCTGGATGCAGGTTGAGTGCACAGTCCTGCTTCTGTTGCCTTAGTCACTAGCAAAATAAGCCCAATCTGTGTAAAACAATCAGGTATGATTCATGCCATCTAATCTTAATCTCAGTAAGGTCAACATGCGGGTTGGTTAGTTTGTACTTAAACTGTTTTTGTGACTTGAGAAAAGCCCTGAAGTTTTCTGGTCTTTGAAGTTCTGATTAGCCTATCTAAAAGCAAAGCGAACACACGTTGCCTCTATTGGTTTCTTTTGTTGGTTGACGTTCCACTCATATTGATATCTAATGTTATCCCCACTGATCGCTCACTACTATTCTTAAATTACCTAATACTAAATAACACACTTAGGCCTCCTGAAAGAGAGCAAACTAAATGATAGATTGCACCTCCAGCTTTACCCCAAAATGTCTGCCTAAAACATTATTGCTGGCCTAGCCTTCTTGGCCCGCGGTGCTGATTGCCCAGTGCTCTGCCTCCTCTGGCTCTCTGCTTTCTCCTGCAGGAGGCTGGTGGTACATCTGCCCCCCTCACACCACCTCCCTTTTGAATCCAGCCTCTCCCAGCCACGTCTCCCAAGTAACACCTTCACTTGGACTCTGCCGTTATGATCCCATACATCTCCGTTGACTCCGGCAAGGGAATTGCTCTAGGAAGGCACAACTCCGTGTCTCCCTTTATCCCCCTGCTAGCTTTGCTAGCTCTGTAACTTGCCCCTGTCTAGCGC